TCTAGTTTAAATTTATGATCATATTGTCCTAAAGTATCATTTTCTTGTAAGGGTTTTTGGAAAAAAGGTGGGTAGGAGTTGTATAAGAGTAAAGCATTTATAGACTGAAATATAAATGTATCACTGAAAATATAATACATTAGCTAAATTTATTATAGTATATCACATTAATATTTCACCATTATCCTTTAGACATCACCTTTAGTCAATGTTTATGATTATTACTGTCCTCTGAAGTGGAATCATGCCCAGACTACACATTAATCATATAAAGGATTAAACTCTGAACAGAAATTCAGTATTTAAAGACAATTTACTTTGATTTATTCAATAGGCTCTTCCAAAAAGTTGATAGTAAGAACTATTGCTTATTGCTCGTTGGAGTTATCAACACTTTTAGGGTTGTTACTTCTTTTACAATACATTTTGAACTAAAGCAAATTGATATCTTCATTAGGGAATATAGAACTATAATCATAAAATAAGAAAACACTTCACTTTTTAATTAACTTTATTTTTAGAACAGTTTTAACTTTATAAATAAATTGAGAAGATATTACAGAGATTTCTTATATGCACTGTATCCATTTTCTTTTAACAACTTAGTACTTATACTTGTCACAATTAATGCACAAATATTAATACAGTGTAATTAACTAAAGTCCATACTGTAGAAATATTTCACTAGTTTTTACCTAATTTGAGTGTGCGTGTTCCAGGGTTTCATCAGGATATCACATTGCATTACTTGTCATATCTCTTTAGGCTTTTCTTGGTTATGATATTTTCTCAGACTTTCCTTACTTTTAAAGACCTTTATAATTTTAATAATGATGATTTCATAGGCTGCCCCACTACTAGAATTTGTATAATACTTTTCTGATGCTAAATAAGATTATATGTTTTAAGGAGGAAGACCACAGGGGTAAAGGGCTATTCTGTCACACAACATCACATTATAAACAGGACAGGATTGCTCATGTGAACTTTGATCACTCAGCTAAGGTAGCAGTTGTCAGATTTCTCCACAAAAAAACCTACTCTCTTTTTCCCCTTTTCATACTGTACTCTGGAAAGAATTTACTGTGCTTAGCTCACAACCAAGGAATGGAGAGGTATGCTCCTTCTTCTTAGATTGGAATGAATAGCTACTTGAACTATTTTTTACTCCTTTAGCACTGGAGACTTGTCTATTTTCCCATATTTATTGTTTTTTATTTAATCAATTAGTCATGTAATTGAGTACTCATGGGCTTTTATTTTGTTCTTTGGGTCATAAGTTAATATTACTTCATATATATTTGCTAACTTGGTCCAGCTTAGCTATTGCAAACTCTTTCAATTGACTTCTATGCTGCTTTGACATTTCTCAATGTGGTTTTATTTTATTTTTATCATTTCCTTAACTTCTTCCATTACAAGATACTTAAAATGTTGTCTCTTACATTTCTTGTGACAGTTCTAGAATCAGCCAATTTTCCAAGAAGATCTAGTTCCTTTTATTAGAGATAGGAATTAGACACCAAGATCTGGGTTCCTGGCACACTGATTATCACTGAGGTGTCATTGCTTCTAGGTCTTGTCTTCTGAACAAAAAGATACTATTTTCACATAGGTAATTCTAGCCTTATCTCTTTGCTTATCTGTACATTTCACCTCTAACAGATCATTTGACTTTTAAAAGTATGAAGATCAAATTATGACAACTTTAGTTCTTGAAAAGCCATATTATCTGGTATAACAATTCCTATGGGCACAGTATGTCTTGTCAAGTTTCAATTTATGGCCAGGAGCACTTTGTTAAAAAGTAGACCTCCAGACTTCTGATTCTGGCAAGATGAAGTTTTCTCTCAGGTTTTCCCACTAAATTATGAATTTAGCAAACAAGCATAAGAGGCACTACAGTGTGCAAATTACTAAGAACCTTGGAACTTGAGGATTGACATGGAAATGAGTTCCTTATGTTTCCTTATTGACCCCCATATATTCAAAAAAGGATATTACACTTCTTTTTGGCAATACACTAATCGAAAAATTTTACCCATCTTCTATGCCTTTGATTTATATGACAACAAGAGTTTATCTTTCATACCATGCCACCCTGTCCTCCGCAAGAAGGCAGCATTCTAAATCCTCCACCAGGGTTGCTTCAGTGTGTATAATTCGTGAGACAGGCCTCTATCCCTTAACCATCAGGAAGAACAATTGAAGTAATGATGCCAGAAATGGCTAGTTAACACTGGGCACCCTGCATATAGTCATGGGGTCCAATGATGTACAGTAGAGTCTGCCTGAAAAACAAAGTAAAACAGTAAAACTAGACTGGAAGACAGGTCAGGATCTCAGAAACCTGTGGAGCAATTTGAAAAGAGCAAATATGGATAGCATCGAAATCCCAGAATGAAAACAGGCCAAGAGAGACTGAAAAAATACTTGAAGAAATGGCTAAAAGATCTCCAAAGTTGGGAAAATACATAAACCTACAGATTCATGAACCTGAATAAACCTCAACTAGGATAAATACAATGATATCCATGCCAATACACATCATAATTAAATTGTTGAAAAATAAAGAAAAAAATCTAGAAAGTAAACAAAGAGGAACTAATGCATTGTTTGTAGAGAAATACCTGCTCAAATGACAGTATATTTCTCATGAAACTATGAAGGCTAGTAGTGTTGACATAACATTTTTCAATTATGAAGAAAAAAAAAGGACTGTGGGCATGGTTCAAGAGGTAGAGTGCTTGCCTAGCAAGCATGAGACCCTGAGTTCACATCCCAGTACTGCCAAAAAAATTATGAAAAAGAACTGTCAGGAATTTCTTATTGGACTTATATTAAGGGACATTAACTAATCTATTTCCAAGATTACAATCACCCTTCTAAAATAATTCAGCTACAGTATTTCCAAAGTGATCTTTCTAAAACCAACAAACAAGAATATTTAACCTACCTTGATCATATTATACAAACTAACTTTTGTCTTTTCTTACTTCAAAGTTCCAATTAGAAATCACTGGTGGCCCATATTTCTTAGGATTAACTCTCATATCTTTGCCATACATTATAAACCACTTATCTGACTGCTATCATCTTCTCCATTATCTTCATTTTTTACACTCCTGTGAGTACTCTTCCTACCATTTGTGTGTGACACTCCTTTATGTTCTGTTCCTTTTTTTTTTTGCTCTTGCCATTATACATTTCTCTTTTCTTGGCCTCAAAAACTCACCACTCCTTTCCATTGCATATCTATGCATCTCTAGTACTGCCTTCTACAGGAAGACCTGTTAATATTCCTCATTTAGTACAGGCTTACAGTAAATTAGTAAATTAAAATTCTACCTGGGTCTTCATATAGACTCTGTACTAATTTGTACTGTAATTATGGATTTACTTACCTTGGTAACATAATAGACTAAATTAAAGCATTTTAATAGTGGTGTATAGCTTAATCTTTGATACATATTGGGGGTTCAGCAAATGCACAGCAAATGAATGGTCACCTTGAAATCCTTAATTCTTTCTGTTTATTCACTGGGACTCTATCAAGAATTCTGGTAGTTTTCCAGAAGCCTAGGGAATTCCTCTTGATTTAATAGAGGAAATTGTTACTGATACATAAGTGTTTAAATACTTCAAAGGAAAATGCATTAACCCAGAAACTTAAGATTCTCTATTTGAACTTACAAGACAATCACTAAGACCCCACATTGCTACTATATAACATGTTACCAATGCCCAATCCACATCTCTCAACACTCATCTTTCCAGTAAATACAGACAGAATCATGTTACCTGCAATTATCTACTTAAGGGCAGGTCAGAATGCTCAGTAGTTAATGTCTCTGAGCATAGCTTTCAACGAATTACATAGGTGACTTAGGTTATATCAGCTTTCCCACCCATTACTTGAGATAACTCTAAGGCATGTTCTACAGTCTCAGAGAACTCCTCTAAAGAAGTAATAGTTACCCACAGGAGAGCCTGTTCGGTAACATAACTCTATTGGCTTTCTTCCATGCCTCTATTCTCAATTTTCCTCCTAAGTTTCCTGGGACTATCTCCTAGATAAACAATTTGCATTCAACCTAAGACAATCACTAACCATTTCTAGCCTCACAGGACATTGTCAGTATTGGTACCAAGGAATAGCTCAGTATAAGTTGCTTGTCCTAGATTTTAATGTTTATAAACAGATAGAAAAGAGCATAATCTTAAAAAGGAAATGATTTATGGGAATGGCTTATAGGTGCTAAGAAGGACAAATAGTGTCTCTTGTTTTCCAAAAATCGTGGTGAGGAATTTATGGGCAGACGGTCTGTAACAGGTGTGACTATAATTTGAGAAGGCTGCTCTATTACTCACTCAGGAAACTGCTATTATTTTGGAATCATGACCTCAAGAGTTCATTGCTTCATTTGCTTCCTTTTACCCTAATATTCATGTTTCTAAGTCACTATTGACAGATTGACAGATTTATTTCCCCACTACTCCATCACAAAAAGAGTGTGTGACAAAACTCATCTACACTCACTTTTGGGTGTGACAAAACTCAAAAAGATAGTAAAGTTGTCTGCGAAATATCCTTCAGCAAGTTCCTATGTATAGTTTTATAAATAATTAAGTTTATCCAAATTAACTTCCTAGAGATCTAAGAAGACTAATGAAAGGAAGTCTAGGTGAAGACTGAAGAAGGGAAGTGAATTTTCAAGAAAAGACTTAGGAAACATCATTATTTTGCCCTTACTTTGTTAACTAATAAAGGAAAATGAGCCTTTTAGGAAGTCATTGCTTGGTTTGAAGGCCCAAAATGTAACCTGTACTCTTGTCCTAATGTGTTTGCTATGTGAGTATTCAAACTTATAAATTATAACCTCTTTTAAGATAGTATACCATTTAGAAGATTGTGGGTACACATTTACTTAAAATTATAAAAATTAAGTGAAATGTATATGTGCAGATAATTTCCCTTCCACTTGCTATCTGCATTTCAGTGTCTGGAATTTCTGGAAAGGCCTGAATGCCTCAAAGAAGCAATTTCTGGTAGAAGTCTGAAGATCATTTCTGAGAAAAAAGAAAAAATAATCAATGAATTAAGGACAAGAAGGTTTCCAGTCAGGTAGGAACACTGAATGTCACATGCTGAATCATGTTAAGTGTGTTGTTGGCTGGATCATTGTTTGAAAAAAAGCATTTCCAGTGTACCCTACTAGGAAGTTGCTGACAATTCCCTTGGAGGTAGTGGTGTTTGTAAGAGAGTTTCCTTGGAGGGAAATGAATACAATAACAGCATGATGCTGTTTTCCACTTTTAGCTTTTTGTTACTAAGCACACTTAGTGATCCCTGTGCCTGTGGTTTAATCCCAGGAGTTTTGGCATGTAGAGTAGCAGATTAACCCATTCTGTATTTTCTTTGAAGACAAGTCATTTTTACAGGTTGTCATCCCTTTCGTTGCTTATCAAAATTAAGGGGTATGATGACATCGAGTCTTCCAAGTGAGGAACAGCTGCAGTCAATGGTGTGAGGAAATTGGCTTGGTTCTTGTCGGGGCACATATTGCCTTGGTCTTGGCATGAAGTGAATGCACATATGGAGTTGGAAAGGAGAGAATGGGACATGTGAAAGAGGAACTGTGCTTGCATTTAGTTATGCATGTCAGCGTCCCACTGACAGTTTTCTTTTTCATTTGCAGTGTGAGATCAAAATTTAGGACAAAGGGATTTTCTGTTTTCTGGCAAGACAAGAGGACAGTAGTGACATCAAAGTCAAAGACTAGTTTTCTCATTTATAGTGATGTACTCAAGGTTTAGCACACTACTTGATCTCCAGTCTGCAGTCAAAACAAAGACACATGTTGAAGGCTGGGATGAATGAATGGAAAATGTGATAGAAAAAGTATATGTCCTTATATTGCCCTGTGTGTTGATTTCTATAGTATGAGGACCCAGTATTATAACTGACAGCAGGAAAATCTACTGAATAAATAAGTGAATCCTTATGCTTTCAAGGATAAATAAGGCCAGTTGAGACTCTGCTCCTTGCCAAGGTCTATTACACAAGTATCTATCACAAGAAAGCTTGGATCTCAGACTACTGATATGGCAGACAACTTTTCCAGTTTGTAAAATAATTTTTAATAAATTTATATAATATCCATTGCATTTTGGCATAGCACCTACATTAGACTTACTACTAAATGATTTAAATATTACTAGACAATCCCTCTGATAAACTTCTAAGCTATGTTATTTGAAAAACATGTTTTCATGAATTTTTATAATTTAGGACAGTTTCAGAATTGCTAGCTGCAAAAATTCTTATTTATACTTTTTCCACAGGTAGGACAGCCATAGTGTTGTAGCAGCAATTTCTTTGTAAAGTGCAGTTGCTATCTTCTGTGGTCCCACAGAAAAATATAAGTCATTTCATTAAAGAAAGAAAAATATAATTTATCATAATGGAATTACCACAAAACCAAAATGCAATTGATATAAACTAGCACCCTGGAACTCATTTCAATATAAGAGGAAATCTACTCACATTTGATTATTTTACTCTTTTATTGATGTGCAATATTCAGATGTAATTACTAATAACAACTCTGAATTGCTAGATGGAGCATTAGCTATTTTCCATTTTTGTCTTTATATGTATTTGTCAAAAACCTGAGATTGCCTCCCACACTCCATCCTTTTCCAGTATTCCTGTAGGAATAGGAGATGTACTTATCAGATGTTTTAAAAATTTCTAGAAAGTCAAGAGAGTATCACTTTAAGTAAGATGGAAAATTGTCCCAAGGTAGCAGGCTTCATTATGGAGTATAATGTACTCATATGAAAGAATTTTATAGCTGAATGATTTCCAAGTACCAAAGATCTAAGTAATTATAGTAGATATATGTTGTTTGGAATTGGGGATCCTCATCTGTAATTAATGTCTTAAGGTTATATTTCCTATCTGGAAGATTTTGATTTTTAAAGTCTTATTTTATATTTGATCCATGTAAAATATCATATGCAAATCTATGTTAATTATGAAGCATAGTAAAATGAAGTCTGCAAAGCCAAAAATCTAGAATCAACACTGCTGAATTTTCCTTTGTGCTCTACCCAGGTCCTACCTTTTTGATATCACAAAAGAAATAATTCTACTCTTGGTTTTATATTCAGTACTTATGGTTGTTTTGAAACTATATTTGTGCTTTTGCTATTTTTTTAGCTTATTGAATTTGTATTATGCTTTATATAATCTTTTGTGCCTGCTTTTTTATCACCTCCCATTTTGTTTCTAGGAGTCATACATTTTGTTTTAGTTAGGTTCATTTTTTTCACCATGCATAATACTGCACTGTCTAAATATAAATAATATGTGTTTTATCCTGTTGATATTTGAGGCTCAGTATGAACAGTCCATCATGAAGATTTATTTTAATGTCTCCCAGCATGCAAGCATAAGATTTATCTTAACATGTATAACTAAAAGATAGACTTGCTGGATCACTGGGAATTCAGATATTCAACTTTAAAAGATAGTATCAAAATGTTTTCCAAAGTTACTGAATTAAGTTGCTGTTATTCTACAGCTCACCAGTCATTGACCAATCTATGTGGTATACAATATCAGTTGATATTAGTTTACTAGGGCCTCCTTAAAAACTGTCACAGATGGTTGCTTAAACAATAGTTATTTTTGCACAGTTGTGGAGGCTAGAAATTCAGGAAGGTGTTGGCAGGATTTATTTTTCTTGAGGCTTGTCTCCATTGCTTACAGATGGCTGCCTTTGTGCTGTGGTCCTCAAATGGACTTTTCTCTGTATAGGCACATCCCTGGTGTCTTTTCTTCTTATAAGGATATAAGTCATAGTGTCCCACCCTATGACTTCATTTAACCTATGTTACCTCCTTAAAGGATCTGGGTCTAAATATAGTCACACTGGGAGCTGGGGTTTCAACATATGAATGTGGGGTAAACACAAATCAGCCCATAACACTTTAATTTGTATTTCTCTACAAATAGACTGGAAATCTTTTCATTTGTTTGTCATCTATGTTTCCCATTCTGTGAAATTCCAGAGAATATTTTCTATTTATATCTTTCTTATTTATTTCTCATTGTTTTTTAAATACAGGTAAATTAATAATCCTTTACCAACTATATATGATACAAACAACTTCTCTAAGATTACAGCCATCTTCTCACTTTTAAAAAAATGTTGTGAGAGAAACAGCAGGTCCTAAGAATTTCATTTGATTCTTTTAAGTTAGTACCTGTCTTACCTACAGTGTCATTTCCTAGCTTAATGTTACATAGATATCATTGTAAAACTTCTTCTAGAAGTTCTAGTGTTCTTCATTTTCTATTCAAATCAGTAAACCATCTAGAATTGATTTGTATGTGTGATCCAGTTTTACAAATAATTAAGTTTTCCAGGACCACTTATTAAATTGTCCATTTATATCCCAATAATCTTCAATATCTTCTTTGTTACTTATCAGGTTCCCAAATATATTATAGCTAATATCTGGGATCTTATTCTGTATAGCTTTATAATAACTTTTATATGTGATAAAGCAAATCCTTCTACATTAAGATCTTTTAGTAGTGTTTGGGCTATAATTGGCCATTTGACAATTTATATAAATTTCAGAATTAGCAACTCTACAAAACCTTTATCAAGTGTTCTGATTGAAATTGTAACAAATATATAAATAAAGCTGAGAATTTCTATCATCATTATGAACCTCTCTATCCAGAAAAATATAAATAAATACATCTCCATTTATTTAGCTCTTTATTAACTATTTTAAGACAGTTAATACAGTTTTATAGTTTTCTCCATAATAACATGTCATTGTTGAGATTTGTTCCTCTCAGGTAATTTTTTTCCATTTTAAATGATTTTAGGCTCTTTTTTTTTTTTTTTTTTTTACTGTTTCTGTATAGAAACACAGTAGTATTATTATCTTGATGTTAATTACAGCCATCTTGCTAATATTGCTTATTAATGAGCACAGATTTTTCTCAGTAAAGAAGAATAAATATAAGTTAAGTGTTACGGATGAGTTCTGTTCAGGTCTATCTGTGAAAAATGAAATGTTCTCTGTGCAGTCCAATACTGTAGTCACTTCTTAAAAGAATTAAATGTCCTTCTTATTATTGTTTATACTCTCTCTTCAACAAAATTAGAGATAAGGGCAGAACAGTTTCTGCCTGGAAGGGGGGTTGTGGGAAGAAAGATTGAGCTTGAGGGTAGGGGGGAGAAATGACCCAAATATTTTAATGTACATATGAATAAATGAGAAAAAAAATTAAATGTAAATTAAATAAAATCCAGTAAAATTATAATTTCAGTTTCTAAGTCAAACACACCCCTAATTTTTGATGCATACTTAAAATTTTTGAAATGTAAGATTTATAACAATTTATATAATTAAAAAATATAAAATGGTAAGATTCAAAAAGAGATTCTCAATAAAAGTTTCTGATTAGACTAAGCATGGTTGTACATGCCTGTAACTCCAGCTACTTGGAAGGTGGAGGCAGGAATATCAGGACTTTGAGGTTAGTCCAGACAAACTTAGTGAGACCCTACCTCAAAAAATAAAGTACACTAGACAAAAGAGTTGGGGGCATTGCTCAAGTTCTAGAGCACTTGCCTATGATGAGCAAGACCCTGGGTTCAATCCCCAGTACTGCAAAAAAAAAGTGTAGGTTTGGAAAAAAAAAATGTAATGATCTGTACCCAGAAGACCTGAGTCCTAATCTTTACCTGTAAAAAGTGATCTATGTGAATTCAAGTAAACAATTTTGTAAGTAAGCTTAATTCTGCTTCTTAAATTGTTATGATGATTTACAAAGTTCTATTTGTAATATGACAAGCCTCAAACCTGTAAAGATTTGAAATCTATAAAAAAAAATTGATAACAAGCCAGGTATGTCCCTTTTTCTCCTGAATTTGACATTAAGCAGTAACCATCATCTTCACTTTAGTATGCTACAGCTGCAGTGACAGGAAGACAAAATATTACATCTAAACACTGTGTACTTACTTCTCAAATAATCACGTTTGTTTAAAATGGGTTTTACCTAAATTTTTTATTCCCTCTACACAACTTTTT